AGTCTAGGACCCGACCGAGTACTATACTGGTCGTAGTTGTCGTACTAACTAGTAGTACGTGTTAACGTTAGTAGTAGACTAGACGTCTAGCTTCCTTACTATATATATATATATATATATATATATACTCTGTTTCCATGTAAAGACACATATACATGAGCAGATTATGCAGGTTAGTATTTGAACATTCCATGTGTATATGGAGATCATGCACGCTATGCACATAACATGTACATGCATTTACATCCTTGCATTCGTATGTATGTCTATACAAAACTCGAGCAACGAATTTTCGAAGCTTTGAAATCAATTCCCACAACAAGGATCAGCTTCTTTGGAGTTATGGGACAAACTGCAAGCCCTTGATCTTCCTCATCCAAACCGGGAGTGGTATGGCTACCACCAAGCCAAAGCCCAGGTGCAGATTTGTTCATATTTGAGGCATCCTTTATTATGTTCTCGAACACTATCAATAAGCAATTTCCATGCAAATTTCATCAATGACAGAAAAAGTACCCAAAGTTCACATGAATAGATTCAAACCAAACTGAAAGACAGCATTTATGGATCCTATTGCATCATGAACAGATCTCGAATCCTCTATTCACATTCCAAAGCGACAGTTTACATAAGTTTCAAATGCCCCTTGATCTCCTCTTTACCCCTTGATCTCCTCTTTACTAGTAATATATACATCTCTTCCAAGAGACTAATTATCAAAGTCTCACAATCTACATATGTTGGAAGTACATCCCAACAGTTATATAATTACATTAGACTTACTAACCTAATAACAACCATCAGGCCCATTTACACAGCTAAATGACTGGACTATTCTAAAAAAAATAAAAATCAATTTGCACAAGGATGATGCTAAGTATCGAGAAAATAATGAAAAAAAGAAAAGAAATAACTAGTTACCTCGGCTTCTATCAACAATTCAATACATCCATGACAGGTCCTGCCTGTATGAAACTGTTCTTGCTGCCCCTTGAACACCCTTCTCCGTAATTTGAGGGCAATCCTCCACAGTCAAAAGTTCGAGCTTTTGTGATCCAACAAGAGGCTTCAACCCGATATCAGTCACCCCTAAACACTTTGAAAGCCTTAAAATACTCAATTTGGGGAAGTGTTGAACAAGCTGCAACCCCTCGTCACTAATCTCTTGACACTTTACAAGCTCAAGCACATCAAGATAGTGGGCAGAGCAGAAAGACTCCATACCAAGGTCACTGAATGAATACACATGGTCTAGAGCCAAAACTCTTATTGGGCACTTCTGAATTAATGAAAGGATACCAGTTAAGGTGAAAGATGAGAAAGAAGGAAACTCCCCATCAGAGAATGATATCTTGAGAGACTCGAGCTTTGAACAGTTATTTGCTATGGCTTTTATGCTCTCATCTGTTAATCTCAGTGGATTGTTCATTAAAATTGGGAGAGAGAAATCAGAAGGAACTCTAAGAGAGAGAGACTTGAGGTTCGTGGATCGTTGTGCCAGGGTTATGAGATCAATATCTCTAACCCCAACGCACATATCCAAATGAAGCTTCTCCAATGCGTTGCATTTACCTAAAACACAAGCAAGCCCTCGACCGGGGCTTATTAAGCAATTAACTAGGCTCAGTTCCTCCATGGATTCGCAGGGAACCCACTGTTTTTGCCATTTATCGACTGCTAATCTACCATAAACCTTCATATATCGAAAGCTTGGGTCAACCTCAAATTGAAGGCGTTTAAGCCTCTTCCATCCTGATCCAAGCTTTGCAAGATCACCCTCCCCAATCGCTCTGCAATTCTTAATCAAAAGGTCCTCTAGTATTTCCTGTCGACCAAGATATTCTAACCATTCCACACTGCTTACGTTAAGGCATCGTATCAAATGGAGAGTTGAAAGGCTTTTGCAACCAACTGCTAAGGATAAGATCCCACAACCAGTTATGCTTGGGGTGAAATTCAGCTTCAGAGCCCTAAGTTTACTGCAAGAAGAGAGATGGCAAAGACCCATGTCTGTTACATAAGTGCAATAGCATAGGGTTAGGTCAATTAAGGAAGGGCATCGCTCGGAGAGTATTAGAAGGCCATGGTCGTCAAGTTGTTTCCCCAATTTGGACATCCAACCAGAGTAACTGATCTCAATTCTTGTCAAGTTTGGGAATCGTCTGCAGAGAGATGTTAGGGCATCATTAGCTGGATCTAAACCACACCCCACTTTAAGGAATTCTCTCTGTTCTCTCTCTAGATCATGGATACGTTTCCAGGCGAGAGAAACCGAGTTCCTATCTTGGGTTTTCTTGATCCTTCCCAAAACTTCCCATACCAACTGGTCTGGCAATTCCTCCATCAAAACCCTAAATTTCACTGCCTTTCCCGGATGAGAAATCCTAGGTTTCCTTTTCTTTACCAAAACTCTATTTTTTATTAAAAGGGATTATTGAACCAGCCAAAAGAATAATACCCATACTATCAATTCAACCAAAGGATTCCTTATCAACTAACCTGGAAACTCCTGCATGAAAAAACCCTAATTTCCCTACAGTGGGATAGAAATCCGAGTCTTCCTCTTCTTTCTTTTTTTCTTTTTACAGGGTAAATTCTAGGTTTCTTTTTAAACCTTGACGACTGTAACAATTGAACAATCAAAAGGAAAAGACCAACTGGTGATTTATTCCAAGAAGTTACCTTACCAAATGATTGCGCAACATCTGCATAAAATTTCCCCAGATCATAATGATTCTAAGTAGAAAACAAACCATAAACAGCAACTCAGTTTTCCTCTGGAAACATTATCTCATATCCACCGCTCCATAAACCCTAAAACCACTTCACTCTGAAAATGAAAAGTCTACCCAAAATTAAATCGAGAAGCATTAACAAAGAAACGCTACCCAAATATGCAGCTGAAGAAGTACACAAGGAGGGAAGAGCTACTTGTATCAAAAATGCAAGAAAAGGATAGCAAAAACCTTGTAATGCTAGAAAAGGATAGCAAAAACCTCGTAATTTGATGGCCAAATACGATGTTCTTCTGGTAAAAATAAAATAACAAGAATTGGAATGAAAATTAATGGACCACAAGTACAGGAGCAAAACACTTTCAAGGACGAGGAGAATCTGATGGCTTAATACCTGAATATATATTTATTCCCACAGAGAGAGGATAGAGATAATTATTATTTATTTGCTTCAAATTGAAAGAGGGAGAACCTTTCAAGGAGGAAGAGAATCTGATGGCTTAATACCTGAATATATTTATTCCCACAGAGAGAGGAGAGAGGAGAGAGAGAATTATTATTTATTTGCTTCAAATTGAGAGAGCGTGAGAGGCCGCTTCAACCCTTGCTTACAGTTGCATACTCAATTATATGGATATGGTGGTCAAGTTGGAATTATTTATTTATTTATGGTGATCTTTTAAGGTAAGTGAATAGAATGCCCTTTATTTCTTCCACTAATTACCCAAACACCCTCGTTGATTTATATGTTTAAGGGTGAGCAAGAGCTTTCCAAAATGGTTGCAAATAATACAAGGTTGCAACCTTTATACTGTTAGAATAAGGAATATCTCTCAAAAAGTAATGTAAATGTTCCCTCTGGTTGATCCTTTCGACTGGATATGAAGAGAAAAAAACTCTTTAAGTCTTAAAAATGATGTATCTTGTAACAAAATTATCTCGATGATAATGTCTTTAAGAATTATCTAGACTATTTATTTTCAAGAATTTATAGATATACTTAATCTATATTAATTTTTAAATTTCAAATTTCATAACTATGAATAAAAATAGTTTTTCAAAAATGTCATAAGGTTTTAGACGCTAGAACTACATCTCCAAGTAAATTTAAATAGTTTGCATTCTTTCTACAGTATAAGGGTGCCTTATACAAACTTCACCCTTATTTGTAAGGAAATTTTTCAAATATTTTTTATATTTAGTGGAATTTGAAAATAATTAATATCTTATAAGAATTAATGTTTATATTTTATGTTCATGTTCCATGTTATTTTAGATCATATATGTTAATTTTATCTTTTTCTATATAATACATCGAGCTCAAGTTTTGTGTATCCATACTTGATACTACTATCATGTATATGTAAAATTTTTAAAACTAACTCAATAATAATAAGGATCAAAATCTCTCTAAAAGTTGCATGAGTATTTTGGTCGTTTTACTTATGGAAAAAGTTTATATAAAGGTGAGGCCCTAAACAATCAAATTACGACGCACCTCAAAAATTCATTAGAAGAGATTATTTCGATACGCAAAAATAATCAAATCGATCAATCTCGAGATGTATGGATATTAGAAAAAATGGATTTGAAGTCGTGGAAATAGTGAATCTTGTAATGTATTATCAGATCGTCAATTTTCAAGATTTTCAAGTGTTCATAGATCTACTTAATCTATGCTATTTTTTAAGATTTAAATTTCATAATCAGAGATAAAAATAAATTTTCAGGCCATCACAAATATTTTTAGTACTGAAACAACATCTTTTGATGCTATTTGAACATGTGCCTCACTGTGATTGTTTAGGGCAACGGCCTTATACAAAACACCCATTATTTATTATAATTTACATTTTTGTATTTTTTTTGGGTGGATGATGGTGAGAAATATGAACATCCCCAAATTTAAGTTCGATCCGATGTTACATAATAAAATAAAACTAAATGACAACACATGTTTCCAAAAATGGAACATGAATGTAAAATATAAAATTTTAGAGATATTTTTTAAAAACATTTGCATCATATATTGGATATTTATAAAAATTTGCCTTATTTATAGGTTTTAATATTATTAAACTCACCATACATGAAAGTCACATTCACCTTGACATGAAATTTAATAGTTTGGGTTGTATTGCAAAGTTCAAAAATTTTATTTTAACTTTAAGATTAATCACTAACAAATTTAATATTTTATGAGTAAATATGTTTATAGTCTCATTATACCAAAGGTAGATAATCTTATTTTGATGCTTTTTCAAAACTTATGGTAACAAATGTATCAAGGATATTGAAAAAAGATAACCTCGATTATTTTTTAGTTTAGTTAGATAGCCTGAACCATGTTCGGAAACTCGGATGAGTCGCCTACAATGGCCGAGGCGAGTTCTAGTGCCCAATAAAAAATCACAAAATTTTATTAAAAATTATTATTATAGAATTTAGAAATATGTTTTCTATAATTTTTATGGAAAACGTATATATAAGGTAGCAACTTTAAATTGTAGAATTAAAGATGCACATCAAAAATCCATTGAAAAATGTTGTTTTAATGTTGAAAAACCCTCTAATTGATCATCTCGATATCGAGATGTATAAAAAATGAAAAAAAAAAAAAAAAGGATTTTGAGTCCCATAAATATTGCATCTTACAACACATTATATAGACTGTGTATTTTAATGATTTTTCATATGTTTATAGATCTAGTTGATTTAACCATTTTCTAAGTTTAAAAGTTTATAATTAGATACGAAAATAGATTTTCCGATAATCTTAAGTATTGTTTACATCAAAATTATATGTTATGATAAAAATTGGAGGTGCGCTTTAACTGGATTGTTTAAGGTTGCAACTGTATACAACCCATACCCATTTTTCTTTGTGTCTATTCAATGACACTCTTACAACCACCTATTTTTAAATTTAAAGAAAAAAAATGATTATGGCATTTTATGTGCATACCATACAAATTACACTTGCCCCATTAGATAATTTCATATGTAACGTATACCGTTCTCTTTTCTGGATTGGTCATCAAGATGATCTAAATTTTCAAATCATGATAAAATTAGTTTTCCAGTTTTATTGAGTGCCAAAGCCCTAAGAGAGAGGCAGTGCAAAATTGAAGTCTAGATTGTCATTGCTAAGGGTCGTTGTTGAGCAAATCTCACGGAGTGGGACCATGTGGTGCATGGAAAATAAAGCACTCCAAATTGTTTGGTAGTGAGATGAAGCCCCAATATGGGATTCTCAAGTTGGTCTTTCATCTCCATGCCTTGATTGTTTCAAGGGCTTTTATTTTTCTTTTATTTTTTTCGTACGCCAGTGGGGATGTGATAAGTCCTAACTCATTTTTGAAATAGTAAGTGGCTTTCATTGTTTCAACACTTAGGGTTTTTTTTTCTTTTTTGGTAATTTAATGAGGATGTGACGAGTCTCTACCCGTTTTTTAAATTGTTAGTGGTTTTTATTGTTTCAAAACCTAGGGCTTTTTTTTGGTAATTCAGTGGAGATGTGATGAGTCCCTACCCGTTTTTGAAATCATTAGAGGTTTTCATTGTTTCAAAACCTAGGGCCCTAGGGCTTTCCTTTTTTTTTGGTAATTCAATAGGGCTTTCTTTTATTTTTTTGATAATTCAATAGGGAAATCGGTAGGAGTTTTCATTGTTTCAAAACCTAGAATCTAGGGCCCTAAGGGCTTTCTTTTTTTAGTCCCTACCCCCGTTTTTTGCAATTGTTAGTGGTTTTTTAATGTGTTAGATGAACATGAAAGCCTAGACCTTAGTTAAGTCCCTACCCGTTTATGAAATTGTTAGTGGTTTTTTAATGTGTTAGATGAAATTGTTACTAGACCTTAGTTGAGTCCCTACCCGTTTATGAAATTGTTAGTGGTTGGTTTTTTAATGTGTTAGATGAGCATGGAAGCCTAGACCTTAGTTGAGTCCCTACCCGTTTATGAAATTGTTAGTGGTTTTTTAATGTATTAGATGAAATTATTACTAGACGTTAGTTGAGTCCCTACTCGTTTATGAAATTGTTAGTGGTTTTTTAATGTGTTAGATGAAATTGTTAGTCGTTTTTTAATGTGTTAGATGAAATTGTTAGTGATTTTTTAATGTGTTAGATGAAATTGTTAGTGGTTTTTTAATGTGTTAATTGAGCATGGAAGCCTAGACCTTGAGTCTCAACCCGTTTATAAAATCATTAGTGGTTTTTTAATGTGTTAATGAGCATGGAAGCCTAGACCTGAGTATTTGGGCCTTATCCTTTGGTGAGAATGAAGTCAGGGATGTTACCATGGGGCTCGGCAATACTACCGCTAAGACCCTAGGCCTTGATTGTTTACTTTATAGATTCATATTGGATCGTTAGATTGGGGATTTGAATCAGTCAAAATCAACGATTCAAAAAAATATTAGAATAAATAAAATAAAAATAAAATAGGGGTGTGGGTGGGGATTTGGGGTAAATATAAGAAAATACTAAATTAGCTTAAACAACAAAAGAACAAAATATATAAAATAATGCGTTTAGGAGAAATTAGGTTGGATCACATTCCACTAGAACTGATTCATTTTCTTATGATTCCCCATCTAGACCGGCGATCAGATTGGGAATTGTCGGGTTTCAAAATATGAAAATACAGATGGAACTATCAACACAGGAAAATTTCACTTGATTATACTTGCATTGGCCCTTGAAATATGATTACAAAAGCCCTTAATCTGTATCTGAATGCTTATTTGTAAGTGTGTTTAAATGCATATAACATTAAAAGGAAAATAGTTTATTGGTTTAAATTTTAAATACAAAAATCGATCAATGAATATAGATAGAGCTCAATGCCTCAATGATTAAATGCAATGCATTAGGTCTCGAATCAATTTTTTAAACTAATTTCTTTCAAATGTAGTCCTGAAAATAAAATCTTTAACACACGAATTCCCAGGATAAAAGAAAAAATGACCGCCTACTTAATCAAAATCAAAAGCAAAAAGACCATAAATCCAACCACCATAAAACAATATAATGCAAGTTTTACAAAGCTTTTAATTTCTTGTTATAGAGACCCTGGCTCAATCTTAAATAAAAGGCAAGAAAACTTACTAAACAAATAGACTAAAAAATTTAGAACTCATAAGCAACAAACAAATTGTCAGAGCTTCAAAAAATCTAGAAGCAACAGCTATACAACTATAGTGTTAAAATAAAAAATTTGGATATGAAAAAAACAAAACATTATAGGAAAGAAAAGACAAACAATAACATACATGGTCACACAAAGAGATACTATCTTTAATAGTAGGAGGAAAAACTTTAAAAAATTGATAATTTAGTGGGGAAAAACAGAAGAAGGGAGAATCA